GGCGCACACTTCGTGCATTCCTGAATTGATTTCATGCATTTTGCTTCGCTTCGTTTATAAATTAAAATTCGGTGAATTCTCTCCGTTGTTTTTTTGGGCATAGGCGTTTCAGGATACCGGAGGGAAGGTCGGAGGTTTAGGGTTCAGGGCACGTAGCGTCAGAATCCTGATCGGTACCTTCGCCGCCACCCTCAAACCAAGAATCTTAAGCCCTAAATTCAAAACCATCGACTACAGTGTGGACTGGAGTGTCGATTGGAGCGTTTAACTCTGAACCCTAAAGCCTAAGCCCCAAACCCTAAACCCTAACCCTAAACCCTAAACCCCAAACCGTAAACCCCAAACCCCAAACCCCAAACCCCAAACCCCAAACCCCAAACCCTAAACCCTAGACCCTAAACCCTAAACCCTAAACCCTAAACCCTCTTCGTTCCAGGACCGCGGAAGCGGCCGACGCGGAGAGCATTTGCTTGGGCTCTGAGTCTAGGGGCTTCCAAGTGACCAGCCACCCCACCCCCCCACAAGTCAGGGTTCCCGGGTTTAGGGTTTAGGGGTTTAGGGTTTAGGGTTTAGGGGTTAGGGTTTAGGGTTTAGGGTTTAGGGAAGGTTCCGAGTCAACAATTTAGGGTTTAGGGTTTAGGGTCTCGGGTTGGCTGGTACATGAGGACTTATTGCCTCCAAATATGACAAGCTTGATCATCACAAACACACACATACTGAACGTACGTGCACACATCAACACCAACATGCGTACGTACATGCATGCACATGCAAGTGTATGTCTGTGCCTGAATGTGCATGCATGCGTCTATACTTGTATATTGGAGGAGGTTTAAATATAAGTGGGGAAGCGGGAATGCTGCTTCTCGGGGGCAGAGTCAAGAAAACATCACGTTAAACGTCGAGAAAGCATCATGTTATGACTTCAGTGCGCATCCCCCCCTTCGAATGAGCTAACCTTCCAGACTGCCCGCTGTGCATGGGGCTGTCGCGAATGCATTTTCCGGCCGCTGCAAAATGCGCGGGGCCGTCTCGGGGACACTGGAGGCAATGGAGGTAAGGTAGTGCCACCTCCGGAGGTTCGTCGTGCACCCCCCCTTCGGTCGAGCTAACCTTCCAGGCTGCCCGCTGTGCATTTTCGGGCCCCTGGAAAATGCATTTGCTGTGTTCGTTGGGCTCCCACGAAACGACACACCAAAAATGTTTACTCGACACCCCTACCCTGCTTCTCCAGTGGAAATGCCATTGCTGGCCAGATGTGTACAGGGTGGGACTTGTGAGACGCAGATTGCTGACGGCCGCGAGCCGAAAGGAACTTCTGCTGTGCAGCTTGTGCCCTGGTTCGCCGATGGTTGTTTAGGGTTTGGGGTTTAGGGTTTAGGGTTCAGGGTTTGGGTTCAAGGTTGAGCCTGCCATGATTCGCTCCGCTGTCTTGGCTCCAGCTATTGTAGCTTGCCTGCGTGCGTACTTCTCCTTTGTTCGCATCTTGGCAGCATTGTGCGCCGCTGCCGCTGAGCCCTAAACCCTAAGCCCTAAACCCTAAACCCTAAGCCCTAAACCCCTAAACCCTAAGCCCTAAACCCTAAACCCTAAACCCTAAAGCCCGAAGCCTTGTAAATTGCTTGAAGCCCTGAAGTTCTCAGCTCGAAGCCCTCAAACTCCTCAGGCGCTTTCTTTGCGGAGATTCTTTGCCTTGGAAGGCTACCGAGGCGCAGTGCACGCCAAGTGGGGGGAGAAGAGCGCAGCAATGTAGCTTCAACCCTCTAGACCCTAAGCCCTAAACCCGAAACCCTGAACCCCAATCCCCAAACCCGAAACCCTAAACTCCAAACCCCTAAACCCGAATTAAACCCCAAACCCTAAACCCTAAACCCTAAACCCCAAGCCCTAAACCCTAAACCCTCAACCCTCAACCCTCAACCCTAAACCCTAAACCCTAAACCCTAAACCCTAAACCCTAAACCCTAAACCCTAAACCCCCCTAACTCCCTCCCCCATTCCCTGCTGAACCCGGGGACTCAACGCAGGTGGGCACCTCGGGCCGCGAGGCGCCGGGGGGTGCATGTAGGGTTCAGGGTTTAGGGTTTAGGGTTTAGGGTTTAGGGTTTAGGGTTTTAGGGTTTAGGTTTGCAGGGTTGCAGGGTTGCAGGGTTCAGAGTTTTCAGGGGTAGCTCGGGACTTAGAGGTGGGGCTTAAGGCCATTTAGGTCAAACTCCAGGGCCCCACCCTACACCCTAAACCCGCGAGGGTTCAGGAATTGCAGGGTTTTTGAGGCAGTATGAAAGGGCTCCCATTCCTTCGTAAAGGGCGTGCCTTCTGAGTATCACCACGACAAGTGCGTTTTTTGGGTCTTCGGGGGTTTTGGGTAGGGGGTTTTACGGCCCAGGAGACCGCACGCCGACCTAAGGCTTTGCGCCAAAAACTCTGAGTGCCCGACATTTGCAGAGCCTCAAAGACAACCCAAGCTTCCGCATTGTCCTAGAAACTCTCCCACGTGTCACACGTCAAGGACCTAAAGGAGGGACCCTTAAAAGGGACCTTAGGGGTTCTTTAGGGGTTGCTTAGCTACATAGGGACTATAGAAGGTGCATATATAGGGGTTCTTATAGGGGAATAGGATTAAGGGTCCCTTCTAGGGGTCCCTCCTTATACCCCTTAACAACTAGGGCCATGACGATTGGCATCGACCTCCTACGCAAAGACAAGGGCGGTGATCCCGAGGCTTGGTGGCCTTTTGTGTGATGTCTTGAACGCGTCAGGGTTTTGGGGTTGTGGGTTTGACGGATTTTTCTGTGCTGTTGTCAAGAAGGCAGGTGTGCGGCGAAAGCCTATAGCCGTTTGGATGAAGTAGTTCTGGATGACTCACACTTGAAGCTGACTATAAGCCAGAAAGGGAGTCTTGCAGGGGCAGCAGTGCCAGCTTGCTCTGCGAGCGTGTCAGAGACTCCGAAAAAAATTCTGACACCAAGTCACCATCTCCTCATGTCACCCTAAACCCTAAACCCTAAACCCTAAACCCTAAACCCTAAACTCTATAAACCCTAAACCCGAAACCCTTTAGGCATGCTGGTTGAACGGGTTGTGGGAGCTCCAAATTGTAGAGGCGCTCTTCTGCGGTTGCGTCGCCGGTACCCGCCCCAGGGCACGGTAAGGAAGCAGTGTCCGTCCTGTAGCATAGGGGTCGGAATAATTACTAATGGTTTTCCCCTAGGGGTCCCTTTTCATTTATACAAGAATTCTCCCCGAAGCCCTATTCTAATTATGCAGGCCCCTAGATAAGTCACGCACAGGTTCTAGAGCTCCGGGGTGTCACCGCACACGTCACTCGCGGCGCAGGTGGTCCGGGAGTCCGAGCGACGGCGTTTCCGTGCCTCTGTTGCAACTGGACCCGACGACCCCGAACCCAAGACCACAAAGAGACTCCCTAAATAAAAGCCCACCCTGTCCTTCGCCGCACCCTCTGTTTCTCCAAACCCTAAGCCCTCAATCCCACACCCTCAAAACCCCTAATCCTAGGTAGGATAAGGGGGACCCTTAAAAGGGAACCCCTTCTTAACCCTCTTCTGGCTCTCTTAAACAGGGACCTTATTCAGAGGGTCTATATCCCCAAGGGTCCCCCTAATCCTCTCCCCTATCTAAAGTAACCTCAACCTTCCATGGAAGTTTGGCCTTGTTAATTTTGAACGCTCTTCGGTCAGGGGGGGGGGGGCCCGTGGGGGCGGCCCGGAGACTGAAGCCTACACCCGAACCCCTGAACCCTAAATCCCTAGTCCTCAGCCATCCTAGGCCCCTTGAAGGTTTGGAAACCCTAAGCCCTAAGCCCTAAACCCTAAACCCTAAACCCTAAACCCTAAACCCTAAACCCTAAACCCTAAACCCTGCAAAATCCCCCATAAGTTGTGCCCATGCCTTGGTAGGTGAGAGGGCAAGGGACCCCAAAAATCCCTAGCAGCCCCAAACTTGGGAGGTTTCCCCCTTTCCTCACAGCTTCTTAAATGGGATTTCA